CTGCTGTTAAATATTTACAACCTGAATGTTTTATAATGCACAGATAGCATCTATCTTTTTTGTATGGCTTTGTACATATTCACAGTTGCTTTTATTTCTATTTTGATATATAATTTGTATTGTGAAGGGCTAGATATAAAATGCAAGGAGACCAAACTGCAAATCATAGGAAAATATTAATTTTTTTAATAAATGGTCTCCCCAAGCAAACAAAGCTTCCCTTTATTCCTGTGTTAGTACAGAAATAATATTGCCAGAAGATAGGTCAAAAGAGAAAACACTAACAGAATGTAGCTTTGGTCTTTTAAAAGTCACAAAATCCCCTTGCAAATATTACTGAAGATCAGATATCTGAGCAGTTGTACTTACCTTAGGGCACTGGTGGAAGAAAGTGATTCTTGGTATTCATGTTCACCTTTCAAAAAGTCATTTTTATGTAGCTACTTAACCAAGAGCAGGAAGTCAGAGCTAACATGCTTTCCAGCTTCAACTTTATTAAGAACTAATTAAGGTCTTGAAAGAAATTGGTACCATGAACATGGTCTCTACCAAGCTGTATCTGCTTTGCATAGTTGAAATAAATCAGTTTACAGTATAGAAAACAGAAGGCTCTAGCTACAAAGTGCAGGGTCTCTTGCTTGCACCTAGTCTCTGTCTCCCCTCCACAGCAGGAGGCTTCAGGTATAAAACTAGTATGCTCATACAGTTCAGTAACTAACAGTGGTCCACACGGTGTCACAGAAGGGTTTGATGGCAGCAGAAGGGCACTCCGTGAGGCTGTATGATGGGAAAGGAAGCTGTGGTCCTTTTCCCAGTGAACTGTTATAGGATGGCAGCCGAATCATTTCTGACACAAAATGCTGCTTTGCTTATGGTCAGTAAATGCGGAGGCAACTGTAGTTTCCACCCCACCTTTCCTGTGTCAGTACTGCCAGCATTGGAGTTTTATTTTCTAGTATCAGTATCTAGAGTTTTGGTACATACCCCAAGAAAGACACAATCTGGTACTTGGAGAGCTCTTCATACAAGATCCTTACTCCATGATCTGTGACCTGATTGACGCTGAGCCTGGAATGAAGGGAATGAGAAGAAAGTTTGAATGAATACAGATCACAAGTGTTCATCACCCATGAGATAACAAATGATTGGAGGTCTCTGCATTCTCCTCTGGTATTTTATCAGGGCCTTATGCCACACATTAAAAGCCATTATGGGAAATGTGAGCTCAGTTTCCTATGGCTCGCTTCAAAACCAGTGAAAAACAGAAAGCCCCAAATCTCCAAGGTAATGCTCTGGAAGCTGCCCATAGAACTGAAAACAATAACAAGTAGGAAGTCAGACACCAGATAAACACCTCACCCTCCTCCTGCACTTACAGTGATTGCTATAGAAAGACATTCTGCTTGACACCCTAGCAAAAGCAAGCTGTCCAGACTACTACTATTGCAAGCTTCTCTCCGAGTACCGCGTGAAAGCCAGGCATCTTCAAAGTCACAACACATTCAGGCTTCACCGAATAAAGGTTGTGAAGAGCCCTGGTCAGAAAATAGAACTGCAGTCCCATGGGTGTGCTAGATGTTTCTAATTTTATTGTCCCAGGTAGACACTAAACAAATCAATGTCAGTATTCACAGAATAAAAATACTTCTTTTCACAGTTGTTTTGGGGTTTGTTTTGGGTTTGGCTTTGAGGGGTTTTTGTTGCTTTTTTTATTGGTAATTTCTCAAGCTTTTTCACCCTGACTGAACAGACAGGTTCAAGTAAAGCATTTCAATTCTGAAGAATCACATTTTCTGGGTAAAGCTGTCCCTGTGAAAACATTTTGACCAGCTTTAGTTCCTACACAAGCTCAGAAGCTGAACATTCACTGCTGAGAGTCCCTTATGATCAAGAGCCTCCCTGGTCTTTGCTAGTTAGTAACTTGATCCCATTGGAATGCACTAGCATATAGTAGAAATCAGACAATTTCTACAGATCAGAACAGTCTGCTGCTTTGAAAGAGATGGTTAAGCTGTTGGAAACATTTCCTGACCAGCACCAAGTGGTCATTAGAAATGAAGGTCCTAACCTCTGAAGATCCATAAAGACAAAGAGGCAAACTAACAGACTGGTTTGGTGCTGGGGATGGTGTTGAGATCACACTCTGTATGGCATAAATACATGATAGGGACAAAGAATCAAAGGCTGGGCTTTTCTTCTTTGTTTTGTCTTACATACTTAGGCAGTTTCCCCAGAAGTTTCCTTATTGCTTCCTCTTGGGAGGTCAGTCAATTTGCAGCTAACTGGAAAAAACAAGAGTCACTTGCTTTGATTTAGTCCTAGAGGAAAACAAGGCAGGGCACAGCCAAACAGGAGGAATAAAACCAGTTGTAAAAAAAATAATTTTCATGAGGCTGAAGGAACTTTCAAAAAGATATATATGAAGTTCCTGATTTTCTGTGCCTAAACGTTTGGACAAATAAGATATAACTACATGGCACAACCTCAAAGGGCTGGAGGCGAAACAAACTGAGCTGTGATGTTAAGAGGTGGAGTTAGCTCTCCCTGACCACACCAAGCCATGTCCTCCCTCCACATCACCTCAAAGAAGCACCACATCTAAAGTCTTCAACTACATCCTATCACGGAGCTTGACTGATTACATGATAGCTTTTGTTCTGTGAAAGCCAGACATTTTGGCAGGATGCAAAATCAAGAAATTCAGAGCTTTTCATCAAGGGTTATTGTGAATAGTAGACCCTCTCATACCCCATATGACCAAGGGCAAGAGATAGGCTCAGACAATCTTCATATAATGGAGAATGCACTTGTATTTCCTTTTTTTACCCTTAAGCACTTTCTCTCATAAAAATCCTCTTTTGAGACAAAGCAATTTGAGATGGAGCTAACTAAACCTACAGGTTTAAACCGTCCTGGCTTCTAAGGACTTCTTACCACCCTTGCCATCTCGGTTTCCAAATTCACAGCTTATCCTTGCTCCTGTGACTGGATGAACTAAGATTTCCAAAGATGTGAAACTTTAATTTCCAGCAGCAGTAATCCTCATCTTTCTCCACTTCCGAGATCAATTCCTTTAGCCCACCAGTTTGTGGAATAAGCCAAGGATAAGCAAGGACCTGCTCAGTGACTCCTACCTGATCACCGCAAGCTTGCTGAAACAAGGTAGCAGCTGTTTTATTCCATAGTCATTGATGTTGTTGTTGTCCAGATCCAGAGCTAGGCGCTTTTGCAAGTGATGCACGACAAAGGAAATAGCACTGCAGTCAGCAGAGTAGGCATTGCAGTATGAGAGCTTGATGTAATTGGCGTGCATGCGCTTGGCAGCCATCCTCCCCACCTTCTCACTCTGCGTCTCATAAAGGCACCTCAGCATCCAAACAAAGTTGGGCTGGAGCTGGACCTGATTGTAGCTTTTAAGCCTGGACCGGGTGAAGCCTTTGAGGTGGGATTTCATGCTCTCCCCAAGGTATGTGATGAGTGTCTTTCTCTTCCTCTTAATGACCGCAGGCGAAACTAGATGTCTGAAGAGCTTCTGCTTAGATCCAGAAAGCAGGCCACAAAGAAACATGTTGGTAAAATTAAAGTGTTCTTTATTTCGGAAAGGATCCTCCCCTGCTAGTTGTTTCTTCATCCAGGGGATAGGAAGGCAAGTAGGCTGGGCAGTCTCAGTGGAAGAACATTCATTGAAAAACTCGAGTAACTCCTTGGCACCCACCTTCTCCTCAATAACCAAGAACAAAGCTGTGAAAAAAGACTGAAGGGTTAAGTGCAAGAACTCATAAGTGGCCTGACTGTCACAGCCACTGTAACCTTTAACTGTCCTGAGAAAACCCAATTGCAAATCTTCATCAGAGATGTTCACTGATGAGACCTCCTCCTGCTCAAAGATAAAGAAAGAATTCTCCATCCCTTTGTATGCCATTTTACCCAAAGCTAGAAGAGTTTCCTTTCTTGATTTGAACATCTCTGCTTGGCTCCTGACATTGTTCTTCAGCAAACTTGTTTTCAGAGACCGATTCAGATGGACTTCAATCATGAGCAAAAATACATCTGTCAATGTAACAGAACTGTCTGGAAGCTCATGGCTGTCAAACATGGAGTAGAAATGTTCATAGCATTTAAAGATAATCCAACAAAATAAAGGCACTGAACACAAACTGCAGAGATTGGGGTTAGCTTCCAACTGGTTCAATACCATTGTTCGTTGCCGCTCATCTTTGAAAAACATAGCAGTGTATTCCTTCAGGTTATTGCTGGAGAAACCACGGAGCAACACTTTCTTTCTAATGATATTTTTTTGGATCTCAGTTCCTGTCCTTGCTGTAAGAATTTTCCTGGATCCCTTAAGAAGCTTTCCTCTGAGAAGGCTTACCAGAAGTGCCAGGGGGTGGATGGGTTCATGGGGGGAACATATCTCAGGCACACTACTGAGATCAAAGTTGGAATAGATCTCATCAAAGCCATCAAATGTGAAAAGAACTGTGTGAGGGAATTGCAAGATGTGACGAAACACTTCTGTGGGGTCCTGGTCTGGGTAGCAATTATATTTGAAGAGCAGGTCTTTCAAGCATATGGCTTCATCTTCCTTAAAGCAACTAAACATCCTACATCGAAAACGGAAGAAAAATTTGGCTCCTATGTCCAATTCTTTCCTGGCCCAAAGGCTTTGTATCTTTTGCAGCAAGATGGATTTTCCAATTCCTGCATCACCATAGACATACACAGTCTCTCCATCTTCATTAATTAGCCCAACTGCATCATCAAAAAGGGCTTCTAATTGATCCACTTGGCCAAGACTCTCATTGGAAAAACTGACCAGCTCCATAATACTGTTAGAGTAGATTTCTTCAAGCTGCATTTCCTCCCTCTGAGCGTACGACATAACAAACTTGGAGTCCCGTCCCAGTTCATGTCTAAGTTTCTGGCAATACCTGCTAACTAAAAAGACAGTGAACTATTATTAAAAGGACTATTAGTAAAATACCTCTGTAGACAATGACCCACCTCTTTGGGAACTCAGAGGGGGTAATAAGCAAATGTAATTCTAATGTCAAAATGGTTCTTTGGCATATTACTTCTCTTTGTGTTGTCATCATCACTCCCTCGGGAAATGCAGGTGCTAATGAAAGGTCACATGTGAGCTACCACTTTCTGAAAGCCAGTACTGTGTTGGTTTAAGAGGTTGCTGTCTTTCAGCTGTGACTAAAAGCCAAGCCCCTCACCCTATGTTAAAGGCTGCTTTACCCTCTGCAAAGGCTTGTTGGAGTTGTTGGTCACTGATAAGCCTTTTCACTATATTTATATCCTACCTGCAATTCTATCAGGTAGGTGGTTATTCTTTCCTAACTTGTTTGGTCATTTATAGCACTGTAAACAGAAAACATGCATTTTAGAAACCAAGTGCCAGGCACCTCACAAGATTTTTTTTAAGATGACAAAAAAGATGAGAGTCTCAATTACTGTGCAATATTGGCTTGTTGTTTTATTGCAACAGAAATTTCACTTCAGATGGGGACAAAGTAATTCCTGTCTTTATGTAATATGAGAAATCCTCTCAAGAGGAAATAATTTATTTCTGCTTTACTTAAACTCTAACTTTGGGTATAAGTAATCATTTAGGATCACAGAATAATTCAGGTTGGAAGAGACTTCAGAAGGTCTAGTCCTACCTCCTGCTGAGAACAGAATCATTTTGACACCAGATGAGGTTACTCAGGGCTTTATCTAGTTGGATCTCAAAAACCTCCAAGAATGTATGGAGACTGCACAGCCTTTCTGGACAACCTGCCTTGACTGTTCTTGTCATGAAATACTGGTTACTCCTTTGCCAAAACATCACAGTGTTGCTAATAAATTGTAGTAGAGGCCTAGAAAATACTACAACAGGCACAAGGAGGCTATGCCATTATGCTACATATCCACAAAGGCTGAAAGAGCTTGAGTTTAGCAAAACAGGATGTGATATATAAACATGACTATTGTGTTATCCAGTATGTTTTTTAATTATTTGGCTCCCACTGCTAGCAAGCACAAAATCATCTTCCCTGGCTGATCCTGCCTAGTATTTCTTACTCCTCTGTCACCTGATTGGAGCTTCCAACATAGCAGGGTAGTTCTAAGGGAAGGGATATAGATGCATGGTCTTACCTGGATCTGTATTTACCACAGGTTTACTACAAATATTCTCTGAAGGCTCGTAACCTATTTCACTTAGCCAAGGCTGAAGTTCATAGTAAGCATCAGTGACTTTCTGCAGGACATAGATGAAATATTCTGAAACTTCTTCCCCCTTGCTTTGAACCAAGTCTAGAATTTTGCGAACCTGAAGAAACAACACATGAAAGATCATTGATACAGAGCATTTTATCATGGTAACACTTGTCAGCTTGCCACATCCTTTCTGGACTGGAACAGGGGACCAAAATCAAAACTGCTGCTTCAAAAACATGCATTCAAAACCTAGCTCTGAATTTGAATCATCATAAAACTCAACTGCTGTTTGCATTTGGACGTTGCAAGAGTTGGCTCTGAAGGTCTGAACTTGTAGCTTATGCTAATCAGAAACAAAATGGATAAATACCACTCCTCAAGAGGAAACCCAAAAGATTTCCTCAGCCTGGCTAGATAGTATATTTTAAATCCTATGCTGGTTAAAGCAAAAAAGGAGATGGTTTCTCTGTGCCCTAAGTCCACCCTCTGTTTTGTATTTGGATTTACCTCAGGACCCAACCAGATCTAGAGCAGGGTAGGCAGAATCTCTCTCTGAATCTTAATGCCGAGCCAAAACCCTACAACTCTTCCTTTTAAAGCAGCAACTCAATTCTTCAGGCTCTCTCTGTACAATGGCCTCACTGCCTGCAGTTGTTACTAAAACTAATAGCTACCATGATGTGGCTAGAGCAGTTCAAGACTAAAGCTTATCTCTAAAGGCAAGGCAGAGTGTGATCCCTGTGCACCAGTGCAGGGCAATCCTAGTACAAAACCCTCTGCAAGACAGAGCAGTCATCTGAGAGCACATTTTGAATGTCTGGATGCTCTTGCTAGAAATGAATGAAGAATTCAGTGCTAAACCAGACAAAGGGTTTCTAGAGACTCTGGTCTCTGATGAGTTTAAAGCAGGGTGAGGTACATGCAGCACAGCAAACACACGGAGCTTTTTTTGACAATTTGTATGCTCTAAAAAGCAATTTAATGCCTTCCAGAGATGCTCCCACAGAGTACACTTCACTTACACTACTGTGGCCTGCTCTCTGGAGCTGCTTACTCCTGATGCACAGCCTCCCCCTCATCTTTATTACAACAATCATGAATATTATGCTGAACAATAAGAAACTGAGATAATCATACACTGTGCATTTATTCAGCTGTGACCCTACACACAGAGTGAGCACTGTGTTACCATTTCAATGTGCCAGCAAGAATGATTATTTTATGAAAATCCGCACTGTTGGTGAAGTCCAAGGTCTCTGAAATTTTTATGCTTTGCCTGTCCCTAACTGTGACAGTGTTCCAAAGCTGCATGATTGGTTGGTCAGGGAAACAATCTCCTCAGTTGTTTCACGTCATAATGCAAAGAGCAACTGTGTACATAATTTTCTCCTAACAACAGACCGGGAAATAATTTTTGCTGCTGATGTCCAAACATGAATTAAAAACCCAAACATGCCAGGATATATCAATTTTCCATAACACCATTTACAATGTACATAGGTCTTTAAAGAGAAATGAAGGCGTGCATATGGACAACACACGAGCATTAAATTCTAAAACACTACTTCATATCGGTCTCTCCCACACCAAAGCAGGATGATCTGTCCCACAGCATCCTAAAGCGGATTTCTCTTGCAATACTCTGCATGATAATGAAGGCTTGCATGTAGAAAGCTGCATGCTAACAAACACTGTGGCCACCTCCTTATCAGAGGACACAGCCGCAGCTGGGAGGGACAGAGCAGCAATTATCACCCTGCTGGTTCTTACAGCTACCAAAAGGCATTACTAACATAGCCAGCCCTGCTGGAAAGAGATGTGCTGGAGACACTCATCCAGAAGGAATGGGGTGGGAAAGCTCCAAAGTAACAAAGATTAGAAAACACATGAGATGCAAAATTTCCAGAGAAACCAATAAAACACAGTGGTAAAGTGAAAGTAACCAAAAGCTTCACTGACCAGTGAAATAGAAGTCATACCTTATCTGCTTGAGTTGGAAATTGGACAACAATCTCTGCATCTTCAGTGGTGAAGTAGTCGTTCTTAATCAAGTTATCAATCAAACACTGCGTGTTTCGGATCCTACTGACCAGCAGCTCTCGGTGTACCTTCAGCAAAGCAATGAAGGACAGGGGGTTTGCTCCTGCAGGTTGTTTCACAGAAATGCCCATGTTAGCCCACAGTTGGCCTTCCATAGTTGAGATCGCAAGAAGCTGCTCCACCTAGCCACATCTTTGACAAACTGTCCATTTGCAGTGAGAGATCAGCTTGGAGTTAACTTCAGGGGAACAGGAAATCTGTCCTTCACATTACTGAGCCTGTAAAAAGTAATTGTATAGAACCTCAATTTAAACCTTATCCTGTGCACATATATCCTTCAATTAGACATCAAAACATGCTTCCAACCTCTGAGTATTATCATGACCAACTTTTTAACAATGCTTCTTCCTTAGGTACTTCCATTTATTTGTTCAGGTTTTGGAAAATAAAGTATTTACAGCAGGCAGTCTCCCTTTTGCACCAGTACTTTGCTGTAGCTTGTCTCAAACAACACCACCAGTATCTGCCTTATTAACTGCCTGTTCTTACTGCATAATTTAATACTTTATATTAGCTTTTCATCTTTCAATAGACAAAGTAGGGCATCTGTCCAGACATAATCTGGACAAGGAAATAAACAGAATAAGATTATATTTTATAGCCATTATTTTTGTAGGAGGAATTAATTTATAGTAGTAAATACCTTTTCCTTTTCTTTGTTACAACAACGGGCCCTGTATAAAGTGTTGCCAATGATACCTGTCCCTGAAAGCAAGGCCTTGTGAACTCTGAGAGGGAAAAGAGTTTAGCTTCAGGGCACCAAGTTTGAGAGGCAGTAGTGAGACTGTGGGAAAACTGCCAATAAGCTGTTAAGAAAGCAAAGTACAGTGCTGCTAACAGTGAAAACCCTGCTGTAGATTTCAGAACTAATACACCTCCTAGGGGCACAGAGCACTTCCCACCTTCTACAGCTATTGGTTCAGCCAGTGTATAAAACAGGGAAAATATTGTTGCATTGGTTTATCTTACCAAATTCAGGTGAGCAACCATAAAAGTTAAAAATAATTTTTCAGAATCTGAAAAATAACCATGTTACAGAAAGGACTGAAACAAGTAATTGTCAGTATACAAGATCTCATCTCTAATGACTCACACAAAAATTCTGGACCTGTCCTTAAGCAGGAATTG